AACGTTGATTGGCCGATTGGACCACATCATCGCCAGTTTCCTCCTTGATCTTGTTTTTCAGTGTGGCAAACATTGTTGCGTTTTTCGAGGGGGAGCTTTTTCTCTGTTGCTTCTCTTTTTTTCTGGCTGTGTACTGCCCCCGACTGAAGTTGGCCTGTTTGTGGCTGGGGCTGACGAAAACGTGCCCGCGGAGCGTTTATAACATGGCGTTATATCTAGTGGCCGTAGTGTTCCACTTGCTTATCAGGCGAATGCTAATTTTCGTAAACCGTCGATGTTGTTTACCATCGATAAGAATCGACTTTGCAGTAACGTAAATCGACGCACAGCGTTGCCACACCGGCCTGTCAACTTTTTCCCGTTGTATGGCAGTGCTGCCATAGAAGACACGGCTGCATTCCGATAACTGACGCCAAAAACAGCTGTTTCAGCGCGCTTCATTTTCCAAACAGAAAAAAATCGTCATTGTTAGCGTCCTTTGTGAAATTGTCAAGTGTTAGAATTATTGTGCGCAAAAGTTAACTATTTAAGTACTTTCCATGGACCAGTCTAAGCAGGTTTTGCGGGACTATTGCGGCGATGGCAATGGCACCTGTGCATCGTCCTTGAGGGAAATCTCCTTGATTGAGACCGTGACCAGCTTCCTGGAGGAGAATGGCGCCTCGGAAATCGACAAAAGGGTTCTGCGCAAACTGGCCGAGGCCCTGTCCAAAAGCATAGACGAGTAAGTGCCAAATTCCAGCATAAACAATAACATATGTACCAATAAGACGTGTTTGCTAACCCATCGAACTCCGCGTCTACTGAGAGTGCGCAGCAGATGATCGTCATGTGACATGGTGATTGGGCCCACTGTGATCGGGAACTAACGCTCTCAGCTGGAGCTCTCCCAGATCCGCAGTGCTCGGTCCCATAGGGGGAGGTACGCTCACAGGCACAGGCGTACAATGGGTGTATACCCACCCCAAAAAATTCGAAGAGAGGAACAATAACACAGCACTGAAAAAAATTGCAACCAAAATTTCACTCATTTTGTATATAGTAATTTGTATTCTATGCGCTATATGCATAGTTTTATGATGTTAAATGAAATTTGTGTTCTTGGTTTTCCTGAAAGTTTTACGTTTATTTTTTAAGATTTTAGGCATTATCATCTAGAATTTATTTATTCGCCAGAGTTAGCTAACTACATTGTTAAAATTTGGCACTAATTTATAATTATGTAAGAAGAGTAAAAATAGTCTTTGAATCATTATTCAAATTTTAAGAACTCTGGTAAATGGTATTTTTCATCCGTAAATATTCATTTTTTTTTATTTTAAAAACCTAAAGCAAAAATGATTTTAAATGGGAAAAACAGCTAATCCTCTGAACAGCTAGTCTGGGTGGCCAATGAACTGCGTGTGCCCACTGCATTCTCTCAGTGTACGGCATTGGGAAATGCGTAACATCTGCTGAGCGCATTTTCCGCTCCTCGCCGGAGATGAGCCCGAGTTTTCCGCCCCTTCCCTTCGCTCTGCATCGGGTCGCTCTGAATCGGTCGCATCGCAGTTTCAGTCAGTTATGTTCTAGCTTTCGGTTTATTTGGACGTGCAGAGAGCGTTTTTCGGTTTATTTTGCTTGCCTCTCGGCTGTCAATCGTGCCATATGTACATATATATATACACACCTACTCATATACTATATTTCGTATGTAAATAGAAACAATCAGCGGGTCAAGCGTTGTGCGGGTGTGTGAGTGATTGATTGTACATACATATCTGTACATAAGTGCAATTGTTTATATTGCACTACGAGATACAAAAAGTGATAGATTGATTTGTTTTTGCTGCCTATGGCGCTGTGGATAAGCGATTCGTAGGATGCTGGTGGTTCTCGGGTGAAAAACAAATCGAAATACACAGATATACATATAAAGTACAAAGTGTGCTCGGATGTACAATAATGTAATATATACTTAGAAATGCTAAAGATATATATGTGCTGGTGCCCCCTGATGTTGTTGTTGTCGTTCATTTGGTTTGCTTTGGTTTGTCGCCACGATGCTGCGGCTAATTTTAGTCGGGGAAAATGTATACGAATTAATTTGTTTGTGGAATAGTGCATTCCATGGTTCAATCGACAGTCGTATCGTATCATCGTATCGTTAGCTGCGATTTCGTACTTCCTGGAACTCTGAGTTTCCTCATAAGTTCTCTTATCAGTCGGGAGTTTCGTATGCTCCGTGCGTGCATGTGGGCTAGTTACACACACACGTGCATTCCTCAGGGGTCATGGACTCGTGGATTAACCCCTATGGGGTAAAAACGGAACTGAGCACCTCTTTTGTTGCCCTTCCAAACTGCAACGCTGAGTTCCCTACCCTCGAAAAAAAGCATCCTGGTTGGTAAAGTACAGTATCGTACATATAATATGTAATTAGAGGCGAATTTATCAAGCAAATGTATCATACAATTTTTTTTATCCACATTAATAAATGATTAAAAAAAGTCACATTAGTCATAATATAATTGAGTAATATGCCGAAATATTTAAGAGGAATAATTCTGAGGCGTTGTTGATAAAGAAATATACTAATTTATCGCTTATTTGATTGGCATTTCCTTTGTCATTTTGAACAATAAACATGTCGTATATGTAGACAAGTTTATTTTGTATATTTTGGAATGAATTTAAATATGTATGTTAGGCATGCAATATTCAAAAGAAGGGTCAATTGTAACTCGCATTATGACTACCTGTCCGAAAACCTTCAAGATTCAGTACGTCCTTACCATATGGTTATTGTCTAAACTCCATAACTAAACTTATCTTGATCGGATTTTGAAGTGGCATACCTCTAAATATTTCTGGCACAATTCTCTAAAAATCTGCATTCAAATTTAGAAATTTATTTTTTTTTAAATTTTTTTGTCATTTTTTTGATGTAATGATGAGAAATTCAAAGAAGTTAAAAAATGTCCAAAGGCTGAAGTTCTATACTCCATAACTCAACTTATCCTAACCCGATTTTGAAGTGGCATATCTGTAAATGATTCTGGCGCAATTCTCTAAGAATCTGCATTCAAATTTAGAAATTTATTTTTTCTTTAATTTTTCTGATGTATGATGTAGAAATTCAGAAAAATTCCTCCTTCGCATATCACTCGAAGTACGCTCGATCCACTTCTGTTTATTGTTATTGTATCTCTTTGTTGATTAAAGCAGGCGCCTTTGTGTGTCGTCAGCCATAGATTGACACCCACTCGAGGCGCGCCAGGCAGCCAGGTAGATGAGTTTCAGGGTTCCAGAGGAGGTGAGAATGGGCTGCTAACTGCAGTTTACCTGGCGATGTGAGGGCCTGAAATGCACCCGCTATAGAGTTCAGGTGCTAACCGAAGAGACACATGTTCCAAGACGGTTCCAGGGGCCACCTGTTGTTGTTATTGACCCGGTCGCTCAGCTGGCGCTTCTCGACTTAAACCATTGATTTTCATTACCACCATAGTAACCAGCGATGGCCGAAAGCCAAAACAAAACAATGAGTGAAAATGTTTGCCAGGGCTTTTCTCGTTCCGTTCACAATTTTGCTGCTTCTAATGCGGTCGCCGTTTTGCAGTTTGCTCAATTCCTAAAATAAAAAAACGACCAGAGGTGCGTGCTGTGTATGTGGTGGTAGTATCTTGTAAGATGCGGTGGCCCACATGTGCCGTCGTCCATCCCCCATCTTCTCGGTTGGGATGCATCCCATCCGTAGGAGCGCCAGACTCTTTGAAGCTTCTTCCGCTCTACGGCTGAATGCTCCTGATTGCTGCTGCGCACGTCGCATCGCCCAGCAGCCCATGACTCATGGCAGCTCGCCCCTTGGAAGGCGACATGGCGGATACGTAACGAAGTCTGGCGTGCGCCGCGAAAGTATTTAGGGAATAAAGCCAAGCACAAGAACAACAACAACAGCCAGGGATGACGTGTCCACCCGTGTGAAAGCAACTAATTAAATCTCAAAATTAGAGTCGCTGCAAATATCTACAGAATCTGCTAAAGCAAAGTGAAAAAATATATATAAATAAACGCGAATAAGAGCGCAAATGCTAAATGAAACATAGAATATGGCGGGTATCTTTCGATCTACCTCACTGAACCAGTCGGCGGATGTACCTGGCTCCCCATTCAAGAGATACTCTCTGAACTCCAGCAACTCACCATTCTGGTAAGTTCTGTATTCTATATTAGTTGGGCCCACTGTACGTAATCTATACTGGCTAATTGGACTTCCCTCTTCCCCGATTCACGGCGGATTTAAGGCGCGGAAGTGTAATCTCATCCATTCCGACTTGTGGCTTTTGGAAGTGCGATCATTCAAGTGTGACTTTAGCTGAAATTTAGTTCACAGCGCAATTGGGCAAAATCGAAAAAAGAGGTTGATTGCCGATTTGGGCAATTGGGTGTGTCTACAATTGATGGAACAAATGTACTGTGCGGATCATAGTTTTATGATGGTACTCAATAGTTTTTTTAACTTAATGATTGAAGGTCAAACCGGGTTTCTATTTCAAAACTGGAAAATTGAAAATATTTCAAAACACAAATGGGTCGTTCCTTCTTAGTTAATATTATTAAAGCCATTTTAGTATGGTTGTGAAATCAATATAGTATCCCACTGTAGGTGTTCATTTGATTGAAAATTATTCTGTTATTTTTCCGCACCAACGAATATCTCGTGAAAACTGGGCAAATCTCTTAATTAGACAATATATGCTCAAAACAGAAATCTCGATCATTTCCAGTTTCCTTTTTCGTACAAGGGAGAAATGTCATTAATTAATAGTATATATTTAGCGTTCAGAACAAAGTGCAACGCAATCATCAAACCTTGTTGCAATTGTCCGTCTATTTTCCACTATTTAATGCCAATTTAAGCCATAAGCCGGGCCAAATAATGTAAACCGGTTATAGAATCGGATTAAGCGCGCTAGCCAAGATCGCTAGATACTAGTAGATTTACCTTGATGGCCGGAGTCGGAGAGCCACTTCGTGACTGGAGCCCGCTTGGAATGGTCCGATCAAGTTGGTCGCAAGTGAGACTACTCCCGTTGCTGTGGTTCCTGTTCCACGGGATTCCCCTGCTGGCCATTCGCCTGCAGCCCTGCGAACTAGCTGGCCAACTCTACATACTGGATGTCCCGAAATCGGAGTTACCCCTGTGGCTTTGTATTGCCGAATTCGAGAGCCGCTTCAACACGCACGTTGTGGGCCAGGCCAATGCGGATGGATCCCGGGACTACGGACTGTTCCAGATCAGCGATCGCTACTGGTGTGCGCCGCCGAATCGAACGGAATACTATGCATTCAACGACTGCAATGTGAATTGCACTCGCCTTCTGAGCGACGACATCACCATGGCCGTCCAGTGCGCTCGGCTCATCCAGAAACAACAGGGCTGGACGGCCTGGTCCGTCTACCCGGAGTTTTGCAATGGCACTTTGGATGCCATCGACGAGTGTTTCCAGCCAAGGAATGCCACTGATTTAAAGGCCGTCGACGAGCTGGCTGAGGTCAAAGATTGTTAGAGAATGTCTGCCCATTAGGTCATCACTGCCGAAATATGAAAACTGATGTGTGCAAAATTAAAATCTCAATTACCGTTTAAACTCGACTTGTTTTATTGGATGTTCTGCGAGGTCACAACGAGTTGCTTTTAGTGTGCTTAATTAACAAATTTCTCTCTTTTTTTACAGCACCAGTCCGGGAGCCCTGCAAGATGTCACCATGGAGAACTCATGTATGTATTACTATGACCATGTCAAATATTTCCTGCTTAATAAACGCTTATATCAGTGGACATCTCTAGAGCCGTTAAAATTGAGGAAACTTTGTGGAATTCCACTTTTTTCAAGCAGGCTATGAACTTAACGTGCTATTTTATTAGAATGGAAACCATTGCATATTAGGATTCCGTTTTGGCTACACACACGAGCATTCGTACATTTACCCGGCCGCGCCGTTGCCATTTTATATTTTATATGTGGTTGCGCCCTAACGGCTAGGTGAAAGCTTATAAAATCATGAATAGAAATCGCTCATCGACGTCGCATAATCCGAGAAATCTAAAGATTCTTAGTTAGTCTTAGACCTATGGGTCCTAGGCACTCCAAATTGATATCAATCCCTCCGTTTTCCTTGCAGATGCTAGTTTCGACGTGGCGCGACCTCCGGGCGGCGGCCACTCGCCCCTGGCGATGCAAGGTCGATCTGTGCGCGAGTTGGAGGAGCAGATGTCCACGCTGCGCAAGGAGAACTTCAATCTGAAGCTGCGCATCTACTTCATGGAGGAGGGTCAGCCGGGTGCCCGAGCAAACAGTTCCTCAGACTCCTTGGGCAAACAGCTTATCGATGCCAAGATCGAAATCGAGACGCTGAGAAAAACCGTCGATGAAAAGATGGAGCTGCTCAAGGATGCCGCCCGAGCAATTTCTCAGCACGAGGAAATGCAACGCAAAGCGGACTTTGACAGCCAGGCATTAATCGATGAGTTGCAAGAGCAGATACATGCCTATCAGGTGAGTTTTATCTAAGCCCTTTTTAAAAGCAGTAACCAGCAGCATTTATTTATTTTACCAGGTGGCGGAGTCTGGTCAACCTGGCGAAAATGTTGCAGACACCAAGAAACTACTGCGCCTTGAATCGGAGGTGCAGAGATTGGAGGAGGAACTGGTGAAAACCGAAGCTCGTAACATAGCGGCCAAGAACGAGCTGGAATTCACGCTGGCCGAGCGCCTGGAATCCCTAACAGCCTGTGAGGCCAAGATTCAAGAGCTGGCCATCAAGAATGCCGAACTGGTGGAGCGTCTCGAAAAGGAAGTGGAATCCGCCGAGTCATCCAACGTAAGTAAATCGATTTAGTAGTAATTTCCTTGTAGAGTATTCGGTAATTGGGTTTACGAGAACCCTTCATATTTAGAAGACCATAGAACCTCTTAAGGTTGAAATAGAAGTCGGTAGGGTGGAGAACCAGAAACTGGTCACCTCCATTCGAACCCTAGAACATGAGCTGGTGCGGCAAGTCGGCTCGATGAAGGAGGCCGCCAATACGATGGACGTGCAGCGGCAGTCCATCATGCTATTGGAAGTGAGTCCCAACATCCCACTTCCTCAGCCATACCCACCTCAACTTGCAATCCTCCCTCTCCAAGGCCACAATCAAGCGTAAGGAAAAGTCGTACGGAAGTATGATGAAAAACGTGCTGAAGTATGAGGCATTGATAGCCAAGTTGAACGCCGAACTGGAGATTATAAGGCAACAGAATGTTTACTTCCGTGAACTGTCCGAAAACCTGCAGCAGAAGGAGGTGCGACAACTGGATCGCGGCGTGGCCATCGTGCAGCCGATGCGCATGGCGGCGGATGCCGGGGTTGGTATCACATCTTCTCTTGAACGTAGCGGCAGCACATCCTCATTGCATTCAAACTTCTCATCGATCAGCGTTTTGTGTGGCAGTCAGGGACCATCGTCGCACAAGAGCCTTGGCCATTGGAAAGGCAGTCAGGTGAAGCCCATACCATCCAGCGAACAGTCTGCTCAGCTCCTAAAACGTCGTCGTCCACAGCTGCAGCAACAAACGTATCCGTGTCCCCAGTACATTTATCATCAGGGGCAATACCAGACCAGACATACCCAGTTGATGGCAATGACGGCGCCAAGTACGGCCTTCTACAACTATTCGCTGCCAAGCTTCACTGGATTCCGGCAGTTCCTTTGGCGCTGGGCCACGTAGCTCTCAAAATCATCCTCTTGGCTGTGCGTGTGCACTCCTGCCTGCAGAATACCCATATCCCGCTTAAAGTGTCCTGTGAGATCGGCCAGTCCTTTCACGGAATCGGGTTCCCGTATCTTCCTTGTCGGATGAGCTGCCCGTCGAATATGGACGGCAGCATGTACTCTATTTGATCATCCTTCGTTTCGGTTTCGTTGATAGTTGAAAGAAATCCAATACAATGACTCCGAAGTTGTCCATATTGAATTAGAACAATGTCGCTCCCTCAGACGTCGACAAATTTGTTGTTTAAGTGTATTAAATTTGCTCACCTGCCTCCGTCTCATTTTAATGAATGTTGCTGAGCTCCATTAAACGTATTATATAAACCTAAGCTAAGGCCTTGTTTTGATTCCTCCAAAAGCTGTAGCCATTTCCGGTTTTCTCTGATCACTTTCAGGCCAAGCGAGATCTGGGTGCCCAACTGGCGGATAAGATTTGTGAGCTGCAGGACTCTCAGGAGAAGCTCAAGGAGCGGGAGCGGATCTACGAGCAGGCTTGTCGCACCATTCAAAAACTAATGCAAAAGGTGAGCAGCCAGGAGAAGGAAATAAAGAAGCTCAATCAGGATAACGAACAGTCGGCAAACAAGGAGGTAAGGATTATTTCAAAATGATTTTCTATTTGTTTACAGATTTTTCACATATGTACATCACAAAAAAATATTTGCATTGCTTTGTTACTTGACTCATTCAACATATGAACATTTTTGTGTGCTTTGTCACAGTACTTAAGTTATTAAAAGTGGTTTTTGTGCTCAAATTTAAATTTAACCACAATGACCCTCGATTGCTCGAGTGCCCTAGACTGTATGCACTGTATGCTACGCTAGGAATACCAAAAGATGTTTGGGTTCTATAATGGTCTGACATACATATGTCACCCAACAGATTGCTAAAAATGCGTGACACAGAAAAAATATTTAAAGACATTTTTCTGAGACCAAAGTTAAATTTTCATTTTTGTTTTAGGCAAAGTATTATAAAAATATTTATATTTTTTTAGAACGACTGCGCCAAGGCGGTAATTTCGCCATCCACCAGCGGGCGTTCCATGAGTGACAACGAGGCCAGCTCCCTGGAAATGTCCACCAACCTCAGGGTGCGCTACGAGCTAAAGATCGGCGAGCAGGAGGAGAAGATCAAGCAGTTGCAGACGGAAGTGAAGAAGAAGACGGCGAATCTGCAAAACCTGGTCAACAAGGAGCTATGGGAGAAAAATCGTGAGGTGGAGCGCCTCACGAAGCTGGTCGCTAGCCAACAGAAGACGTTGCCGCAGATAAGCGAGGAATCCGCCGGCGAAGCAGATCTGCAGCAATCCTTCACGGAGGCGGAGTACTTGAGGGCACTGGAGCGAAACAAGCTACTGCAGCGAAAGGTGGATGTGCTCTTCCAGCGCCTTGCAGACGATCAACAGAACAGCGCTGTGATTGGGCAGTTGCGTTTGGAGCTTCAGCAAGCTCGCACGGAAGTGGAGACGGCGGACAAGTGGCGTCTGGAGTGCGTCGATGTCTGCAGTGTGCTGACGAACCGATTGGAAGAGCTGGCTGGTTTCCTCAACTCTCTGCTGAAGCACAAAGATGTTCTTGGCGTGTTGGCCGCAGACCGTCGCAATGCCATGCGTAAGGCGGTCGATCGCAGCTTGGATCTCTCCAAGAGTCTTAATATGACCCTGAATATTACGGCCACATCCTTGGCTGATCAAAGTCTCGCCCAGCTGTGCAATCTCTCCGAGATCTTGTACACCGAAGGCGATGCAAGCCACAAAACTTTCAATTCCCACGAGGAGCTGCACGCCGCTAGTGCCATGGCTCCGACTGTAGAGAACTTAAAGGCCGAGAACAAGGCTCTTAAAAAGGAGTTGGAAAAGCGACGCAGCTCAGAAGGACAGAGGAAAGAGCGACGCTCCTTGCCGCTGCCCTCCCAGCAGTTGGACAACCAGAGCGAGTCAGAGGCCTGGTCAGAGCCTGATCGCAAGGTTTCCTTGGCACGCATTGGCCTGGACGAAACCTCAAACAGTTTGGCGGCGCCGGAGCAGGCGGTCAGCGAGTCCGAAAGTGAGGGAAGAACCTGCGCTATCCGTCAGGATCGCAACCGCAACAGCGAGCGTATCGCCCAGCTGGAGGAGCAAATTGCCCAGAAAGATGAACGCATGCTTAATGTACAGTGCCAGATGGTGGAACTGGACAATAGATACAAGCAGGAGCAACTGCGCTTCTTGGATATCAGTCAACAATTGGAGCAATTGCGAGTTATCAACGAAGCTCTGACTGCGGACCTGCAAGCTATAGGTTCGCACGAGGATCAGCGCATTGTGGAGTTGCAACGCCAGCTGGAGCTTAAGAACCAGCAGATTGACCAACTAAAACTAGCTCATAGCACTCTGACTGCAGATTCGCAGATAACCGAGATGGAACTGCAGGCGTTGCAGCAGCAAATGCAGGAAATGGAGCAGCAGCACGTCGATTCCGTAGACACCCTGCAATCCCAACTAAAGCAACTCAAACTAGATGCAGTACAGCAGTTAGAAGAGCACGACCGCCTGCACCGGGATGCACTCGAACGCGACTGGGTGGCACTTACCACTTATCAGGAGCAGGCTCAACAGTTGTTGGAACTGCAACGATCTTTGGACTATCACCAAGAAAACGAGAAAGAACTCAAGCAGACGCTTGTCGAGAACGAGCTGGCCACGCGGGCCCTAAAAAAGCAGCTGGACGAAAGCACACTGCAGGCCTCCAAGGCGGTTATGGAGCGCACAAAGGCCTACAATGACAAGCTGCAACTGGAGAAGCGTACCGAGGAATTGAGGCTGCAGCTGGAGGCGCTGAAGGAAGAGCAGCAAAAGCTGCTGCAGCAGCGTTCCAACAGCAGCGATGTTTCCCAGTCCGGTTACACATCCGAAGAGGTGGCAGTGCCCATGGGGCCACCATCGGGGCAGGCTACAACGTGCAAACAGGCTGGTTCCGCAATGGTAGGCCAGAGGGTAAGCACATCATCTCCCGACCTGGGCATTGAAAGCGATGCCGGCAGGATATTCAGCGTGGAGCTATCCAAAGCTCAACGAGCGATGCTTAAGACTGTAGAAATGAAAACGGAGGGGGCATCTAGTCCAAAGGCAAAGTCGGAGGGTGAGTTTGGATCAAACTGGTACCAAAGAGATCAACCAACTATAAAATGTTCTTTTTCCACAGAATCTGCTTCACCCGACAGCAAGAGCAACATGGCAACTGGTGCAGCTACAGTACACGACTGTGCCAAGGTAGATCTTGAAAACGCCGAGTTGCGGCGCAAACTAATCCGCACCAAGCGCGCATTTGAAGACACCTACGAAAAGTTGCGTATGGCTAACAAAGCAAAAGCACAAGTTGAGAAAGACATCAAAAATCAAATACTAAAAACGCACAACGTGCTGCGAAACGTTCGCTCAAACATGGAAAATGAGTTATAACGATCGCGCCGACGTCCAGTATATCAGCATTAACCTGAGAGGCCATTCATCCAAAGTTCAATTGCCATTTCAAATTGTTCTTGCCATTCATATATTTTGTCTGCATTGTATTTTGTTGTCTCGTTGCTAACTTGATTTCAATTATTTATGTTTTTTTTTTGTGTTTAAAGAGACCGAAAACAACGAAGCTATTAATACGAAATACCCATGCATTTTCTAAAGACTGTTGAGGGAATCGAACCCATTGAATGAAATACCACACACCTGTCTTAAGCACAAAACAAAGCTAACTTGAAACTGAGTGCTGACAATATGTATCTAACCCGGCGCACTCATTCATATTGAATGACACATGTATATTATAATGTATATATCCCCTAGTATCATAACTTTTACAAATATTCTCTAGCATACTCGACCTGATTCTCGTCTCGCATAACCCTCCATTTTCTAATCACTTGCGTGTAGTCATTGCCTGATTAATGTATTCTCCTACTGCTTAACTGCTCTTAATCCTTGATTTCAGTTAACCATCGAAACGGATATTGAAATAATTGTTTGACTTGCCGGCCAAAACGGTTTAACTACGTTGCCATCCAATAACTCTTTTTTGTTCCAAACATCCCTTTGTACAATGTGTAAAAAGTAGTGTGCGTTGTCCTGGAGAACAAGATCTAGATCTAAGTCATTTGTACCCGTCGTTTTATGGAATAAACAATTGCGTTAGAATTATTTGTATGTGTCTTCTTTTGTGGCCTCGACGATTTTTTCAATAATCTTCATGATATGGGATGAAATTGAATTGTTCTAAATCTATAGCTTTGGTTTTACCAACATGTCAACATTGATATAAAAAATATTTTATTTCCTAACTGCATTGAGCAGTTTGTTTTACCATTCATAACGAAACTTCATAACTTTTCTACTTTATAACGGACTTTTCAAAAAGTTTGCTGTTGTCGACTATCGCCGATAAATTGCCATCTGGTGTTTTTGTGGCAGCGCTGCCAGACCGTCGAGAAAGCGAATGCAAGCGTGTCAGCTGAAATTAATAAAAAGCGCAAATGACAAAAGAAAAACAAAGCGTCGCGACTCGAGTTTACCTTAAATATGCAGCCATAAACTGTTAATATAGATTGAGTTCCAAGTCCAGTTGAAGAAAAATGGTTGCAATGGTGTAACAGCACCTTATCACTTTATTTGCGGCTTTGTTTAACCCTTATCAGAATACATTATTCACTGTGCTTAAAATACATATGTACATAGAATGCCATACGATCTAACAGTGCGTCAATATAGTGCAGTGTTTAGCATTTATGTTTGCTGCCATAAATGAATTCGCCTTCTTCGCGGAACTGAACTGAACGGATTGTGTGGAAGTGCAACTAAAAACTGAAGCCAAACAAGGGTCGCTTTTCTCTGATGTTTGCGTTCGGTCACCAGTTGCTCGCTAAGAAGCTATGCTCTCCATTTCACGCTTTCGACAATCGTTTCGCCGCCGCGAGTTACCCGAACCCGGGCTCTTGAATACTTGTAAGTAATCCCAGCCTCTAAGCTCTTTAATCTTTAAGCTGTAAACTTAGCACCCTCTTTTAGGCTTGTCTAATACAGTCTTACATACTTTGCACATTCAATGTATTTCTCCTAATCGAAAAAATTACTTTGCTAATACCAAATTAGTCACCGTAACTAATGTCCAAATGGTTTTTGATCCATGATAACAACTAAAAATGTATTAGTAAACAATTAGGTACAACATTATGTACAACTATGTGCATTTACAATTTGAAATACATTAATACCGCCCAAAAGTTCTTTAAAATTCATCATAGCCAATTCATACTATACAAACCCAAATTGTTTACAAGTTGAAAACGCCCTATAAAAATGGAATACTTTGCCAGCAAATATTTATAAATGACGCGTGAATCTCAGTCTCTGACAGTACAACGATAAGATTACTTAACGAGCACCTGGGTACCAATTCTTTTACATAGTTTTCATAAGTAATTAAAAAAAAAAAAATCTAATTTGGCCCATGAGGGGATCGAACCCGCGACCTTCGCGTTATTAGCACGACGCTCTAACCAGCTGAGCTAATGGGCCGCGATGACACGTTGCAGCCGAAATCAACTTGAGTGGCAAAAGCAGAAGCTAGTGTGCTCTCGCCTGAATGTAAATGTAAAATATAAACAGTTGCCGCACTTTCATAGTTGCCCAATTTATCTCGTAGTTTATTTAGTGCCGTAGCGTGGCCCACATTGAAGCGGGTTTTCCTGGGCGACACATATATATTTTTGAAAACTTTTCATAGTCCACAGTCGGGAAAGTTCGGCTGAAGGGCTCGGGCACTCGTATCCATGGACCGAATGCGGCTGTGTGCGAATTGATGTCCCTTTTCCGTTTGCCCGCGAAGGATCCGCAGTTGGCTTTTGACTACGGTACGGTTTGGACGTGCTTTTTTCCGCGGCGCTTCCGCCAGGACCAATTGCTTTCCCTTGGCATGGGAAATCGTTGAAAGCGGCCCCGCAATCCCGCTCCTTTTCGTACTCTTTGCAATTACGGCGTAGCGTAATTGGATAGGTGTAAATTCACAATTTAGCACTGCAGTGGTTGTGCCACTTGAAGTTGTGAGTGCAGTTCGATAATCTGAAGGTTTCCGCCGTGAGCGACGCTTTAATTATTTGGACTGTCACAGATGTATGCCAGGAGAAAACGATACCATTCGATTCGACTACAGGAAATGAAGGCACTTAAAACTATATAGATACTTGTATCTTCGTAAGCAAAAGCGTGCCCCGACTTGATATGCGTGACAAGTAAACACCATTACCCCTAAATGTCAGAACTGCAATGAATTTTTGATGTATTAGCCGGAATCCAGGCCTTTAAAGTCGCTCGACTAATGGCATCGTCTGGTTCGGCAGTTGTTCCGGTTCTCAACACCTGTCAGAGTCAAGGCCCACGAATTGGGCAAGGGAATTGGGTAAAGGAAGTCGGTTCGGAGACGACCATGGAACCACCCACCAAGCCAGCGGTTGAACAGCTTACATAACGAGGATTGGAGAACAATTTGGTAGCCACAAGTGCCTTGAGTGTGCCTGCAGACTTACAATACTGACCAAGTAGTGCCTTGGGAGCGAGTTCCTGATTGGATTAGCCCCCAAAAATGTCGGGCAGCTACCAACGCCAGAGCCTGGAGCTCCGTAGCCCAGACCATGCATCTGGGGACGATCCCGATGGATGTTTGCGGACCCATTTGGGATCTTCGGCCAGCCAGCGAAGGCGGCAGCAACGCATCGCCCAGCAGCGGCAGGATTCGTGGTTCCGACACTCGATGCCGCCGGCAATAAACAGAGACTTTGAGTCCCTGGAACACCTGACGCCCAGGGCCTCCGATGGCCTGGATGAGCAGCTAGCCGCCTCCGTTTCGCACAGTGTGCACAGCGGTGGCAGTGTTACGCTTTGCGGACCACCAGACCATTCCAGCATCCATCTGAACAGTGCCAATAGCAACCTCGGCTTTATCGACTCGGATACGCCCAATACGCCGGTGACCCCGGTCTCTGGACTGCAGCCCCCTGCCTCGGTGTCCACCTCCGTGGCCGGGACACTCTCCTCCCGTCGTCGGTCGTCCAACCGCAAGGATTCCAAGGGCTCCATACTGTCACGTCAGAGCGGGAAGAGTCGGGTTTCCGTTCTGGCACAACGTGGACTGCGAATGACGGCCTCGTTTCTGCGAAGGAAGCGCACGGAGTACGAAGGTGAGTGCGGGCTTAGGCGTAGATGATGGATTTCCAAGAATTCCTGGCATTCAATAGGCTAGTCACAATCCGTAGATGCTGCTTGTGGGTCGGGCCGGGCATCTCCTTACACCAGTCGCCTTCTCCTTTTTCGTTTTGGATCAATAACGTTGGCGCCCCGTGGTCTGTGGCCCAGTGGAGCGAGGGTGCGGTTTTTCACTGCCAGTTTCACCCGGAGATTTGTTTGCTAACTACTTCATTTGTTTATAGACCATACTTTTTCGATTGGCCCGTTCAATATACGCAATCATATGCAGTGCTGATTTTCTACATTTTCCGCTTATAGAAGGTCAAAGGAGTTTTCAGTTCTATTTAATATACTTTATGTATGGCGCGCTTTCGATATAAATCTTTCGAAAATTGAATTACGTTATTTATTATTAATATGACAATGGAAAAATCAGAACGTGCTTAATATAATAAATAATTTACAACAGGTAATGTGTCTCTGTTCACAAACCTTCCCATTGGCATACAATTAAAAGAGCTTTAAAAGAGCAATTACAAAAAGTAAACAGAATGTTTTCACGGCATTATCAGGCACTTCTGCATTCAAAGTTTATTGTTAGCAATAAATTTGTTAAACGTTCAAAAACGATTAAACCGATTAGAAATGTTTGAGATAGCTTATTCTAAGCGCACATGCAGTGCATAAAGAAACTTCTGTTCACGAACAGCAATACGTATCTTAAAGGAATAATTTATAACTTAATAAGCAGTGAGGAAGTTTAACAGGCAGCTTTAATTTAGTTTAAACTTTAGTTTGAACTTAGTTTAAAAGCGTGTAAATGTAATAGACAGAGATTTTACATGTCATTCCCAGCCATGTCACAGATATGTCACCCGACTTTACTGGTCGTTGAGTATGCAAACGCTGTAACTGTCTTGCCACGGTGCCGCCCCTGTTCCCCGCCAGAATTGAAGGCCCCACCCGGCAGCCAACCCCTGTGGACTGACCCAGATTGCATGAGCCAAACGAGCGGCATGGCCCACAGGAAGGGCACGTCCTGCTGCCGCATGTGTGCCTGGCTCTGGGGACTGGATTCAGAAGCCACTGCTTTTGAGCAGTAAATGAGCGGAAGCAGCAGTAGAAATAAAAGCCCTGCCAGCTGCAGTTAAAGTACGTACGATGAGTGCGATTTTATTGTGCTTAACTTAAGCTAGACAGTCCTCTGAGCCTGAAGGACCCAATCTCTCAGTTCGGCAATGTTGGCATACACGCCGGGATAATTGGCGACGGCGCAATCCCGTCCCCAGGAGACAATGCCCACCAGTCGGCCACCGGATACCAGAGGTCCGCCAGAGTCGCCCTGGCAGGCATCCTTGTTCGACGCCGCTGCACAGATCATGGTTGCTTGGATGAAGGAACCATATCCGTAAGTGGAACTGGCACACTGCGTGCGCCCCACAATTTTCGTGTCCACAAAGAGCAGCGTCGCTGACGAGGAGCCACCGGTGGAGGTCTGGCCCCAGCCTGAGATGCTAGCTGCTGATCCGTGAGCCGGTGTCGCAGTGGCCATCGTAATGGCCTTGATGGTGGAGCCGAAGGTCAGTTTAGACTGCAGCCGCACCACTCCAATGTCGTTGACCTTGGTGTTGTAGTTGTATCTCTCATGCGTCTTGATGGCAGCCACCTGGACGAGAACGCCACCATAGGTTCGCTTATTGGAGCCAGCCCTTATCCGGAGATTGGATGTCGTGGTCGGGTCGAAGAGGCAGTGGGCAGCGGTGACGATGATGTTGTTGCTGATAATGGAACCTCCGCAGAAATGAGCTCCGGAGCGCTGCAGAGAAACCTGCCAGGGACGATCCTCAATGGAAGATGCTGTGCCTCCTACAATCCGGCCACCCAGCGATGTTTGGGGTTCCAGACCAATGGGAGTGACTGCACCATTCGTGAGGGCCAGCAGGGCAAGGAAAGCTGTTATTTGTAGGAACATGTTTGCGGTAGCACTCTTCAACTTTGGTTGGCCAACTAACTGCGCCTGATGGCCTTTTATAGCCACAGATTGGGCATTGCCCGTGCGGATAAGGGTGTCAAATGACACGGTCATATTTCATTCGTATCACTCGCCGATTACCCAAAGGCCCATCATCCGGCCATTGTCTCCAGGTGCTGGCCGGATAATAGCTGCTTTTAATTGCCGACTGGTTATCGATTAGTTAGCCTGTGCAGTGAGATAGGTCAGTTGCAGAGCTTAGACTTATCGTAGGAATGCTTGTTTTGACATCTCAATGGGTCTATAATCCATTGCCTGCTCTTCCAATCGATTGACTGGGCCTTACCAATTGTAAATATATCAAATACAGATTACTCCTTTCGTTCGGTGCGCAAAAAGCATTGTAAATTGCATGCCCACTTACGTGGTTTGCATGAACACGAAAGCCAAAATAGTCGTAAACACTCTGCACTAGTTTATGCTTTTAATATAGGAATTCACAAAAATATACATATAAATACATAGGTACAAATCATGAATAACTTATTGAACATTTGCTCGACTTCGTTGCCCAACGTAGAACACGGAAAATGCATTTAAAACAACGGACCACTCCACTTCCGCTTCTACGGCAGGACTCGGGCTGTCGTTTATTTTCCAATTAGGTTAAAAGTGTCACGTTCAGTTAACAACTTCCGCCAGCGTTTTATTCTTGTTCAGTATTGGTTTTGCAATATGGCCAACGTGGTGGGCGGGTTCATAAATATTGGCCTAGCGCTTCGTAAAGCAAGTTTTCGACTCGGGCGGCATGCTCCGGCGCTGGAAAACCCGTAGACCGGATCAATGGGGAATTCATGTCTGTGGTGTTTCTGTACCTACCAAGTCGTTGTCGGACATTAGGTGTCTCTTCCAGCTGGTCAAAGTTTCCGAGTAGGTGAAATACTCCACCACCCGGTTGAAGGTGACATGCTTCTTGGGCTTCAAGAACTCCTCACCGACGCCATCACCTGCTCCGTCCAATTCGTCATTCCTCATGATTAGAATGGGTTTGAGCTGTTGAGTTGATCTCTTTGGCTGCTCTTCAGACATGGCTTAATTGATAAAAATATACTATTTATTCAAGCTGTCACTGAAATCTGGCTTCAGAGATTAATTCCTAAGAACTAAATTTGTCACTTATGTGTGAGCAGGCTACTATGATAGTTTTCTGCTCGTCCTAATGTGTAAATATACGGCGTGTTTTAATTGCTTAAAAAATCAATGAAAAATCATTTTACTAATTTTTTCTTGCTAACAATATTTTTATAAAATATATACATTGGTAAATAATTTAGTTCCAATTTTTTTCGCAAAACTATAAGAGTTGAAACTAATTATTAAGATACTGTAATATTCTTTAAATATGCAAAAAATATTTGTCAGAAGTGGGATTCGAACCCACGCCCTCAGAGAGGACCAGAACGCTCATACACTTTCGTTCAGAAAGTAAGATTTATCATCTTGAGTCTGGCGCCTTAGACCGCTCGGCCATCCTGACACTTGGTTTCGTAAGCGCCCAATTTCTAGTGTCATATAAATAAATACAAAATGGGGCGTTGAAGCAATAAATTAGGATGTTCTCTGTTTGCCGTTCTATTGTCTAAAAGCATTTTCAACTCGTTGCGCAGATAAGATCGTTCAATAAACCGTTTAGCTTGATTGGCAAAGCAAATTAAGATACCCCACACGCGGAGAAGTTGGGTAACTAAAGGGACGGGAAATTCAATCATCCTTGACGGTAAATTGAATTGACATTTCACTTAGCTGCCTTGCGAGTAATAGACCACGTTAGATCATCCTTGCCGGCGTTATGTGACATCATCGCAGGATATTCGCTGTCCTAGCATGCGCGGCATGAGATAACATTAACAGCCGCCCATAATTGGGCTTTGCTTATCTAGGTTCGTACATAAAGCTTGCGGGACACGTTCTCATCAAATCTATGGTAACTTTTTAATTTTCAAAGTGCATTAGAAATGTAGAAAAAAAAAAGAATCGTGTGGCCCATGAGGGGATCGAACCCGCGACCTTCGCGTTATTAGCACGACGCTCTAACCAACTGAGCTAATGGGCCATGTGTGCGCGATGGCCAAAATACGACTTGTACTAAAGAGCAATTTTAATAGAACTGTTAAGAATTGTATTAAACTGTATGTTATGCTGGGAGTCAAATAGAACTGTTAGGAATTGTATCTAACAGTATGTTGTGGTGGGAGTCAAATTTATACTTCTAGCGGGAACAGTTATAACACTGTTATACGTGGTGCATTTTTGCAGAAAAACAGATTGTGCCAACAGAATTAGTTAGCACACGGTTGACAAATGCAAAAACCAATGCTCAAAGTAATCAGGATGTTAAAAAAAAAGGTTTCCTGGCCCATGAGGGGATCGAACCCGCGACCTTCGCGTTATTAGCACGACGCTCTAACCAACTGAGCTAATGGGCCATGCGTTCTCGGCTGCCTAAGTTAATATGAGAGTGAAAAGCTTGTTACCATCTTAGAAGACCATTTCTTTAATATATTTTTATAGCTTATGTTTTTTATAAATTTATTTTATTTCTCATTTTTGAGCCAACAACAGGTAACCTCTTATCATAAAGTTGTTCAAAACTTAGAGAATGCTATGTTATGTTTCAAATGCATTTTTCAGTGCTTATGTACATATATCTGTATCTTTATAGTTATAGAAGTTAAGATTTTTATCAACCTATGAGGTTGTCTCGGAATCCTTGCCCCCTATGGGTATAAATTTCATTTAAGGACGACTACATTTTGGTACATCGTACATACAGTTGCGAAGAATCGGAACATTGCAAAGTTTTACAGCAGCTGGTTGCATTGTTTTGAGGTACATTTTCATTATTAATTCTTAAAAAAATACTACCAAAATAATTAAAAATAAAAAAGTTAGTAAATAATATCTTGAAACTTACAAGTCGTTGCGTTTTATTTTTTTTGATAAAATTTGTAGTTCAGCTTT